AAATAGCCGTTGATATCACCAATATTCCCGCCATGGTGGCTCAGCTGGAGACTCACCAGGGCCAACAAGATGATCCCATAGAGAAGACCAAGTCCCTGATTTGTGCCCTTAACTTTGTCTCTCGAAACCTCCCTCTCCCTCCTGACGTATACGACAGCGTTTCGTCTATCTATTATGGCGAACACGACCCCGCAATTGAGCCCTCCGGCTGTGGGTCCCAGACTGCTGGTGGATCTGACCGTACAGAGGTGGCGGACAAGGTTCTGGTACGTTTTGGCTTCTTGCCTTGGAGATGCTTTTGAATTTCGACTTTAATTGTGGTTTTTTACGAAACCTTTTTCTGTCGCTTTGATCTTTCAATGGTCAAGACTTTGATATATATGATCTTGTGTTGTTAGTAATTCTCTTTTCTTTGCGTTTTTGGTGTTCCTTAATTTTTTTGGTTTTGTTTTTACTTTCCCTTTTGTTTTAAGGTTTTGTTTTTTGCTTGCTGGGAATTGTTCTCAATCAGGGATTTTGTTTTTCTTTTTCGTGATTTGATGTTTGGAGTTGTTTTGAAATCTTTTAGGGCATAGTGTGGTTTTTGGGATTGAAGTTATCTTTTTGCCGTTTTCTTCAATCCTTGTTGAAATTTTGGCTCTGGCAACTCTTTCTTTCTTTTTTTTTTTTTTGCTTTTTAATTCTTGGGTTCACAGAATGTTGATTTAAGATTCATGCTGCAGGATAATGGTAGGATTTCTAGCACAGGTGATTTACTAAGCGAATTTGAGGATGCACTTTCAAGACAACGTCCAAAATGCGCATCAGGTTCTGAATTATCAAAATCGAGGGAAATTTTGTATCGGAGCCACATTCAGCATCGATTGCATGAACTTGAAGGTCAGCATCAACCTCAAGTTTAGTTGTGTAAAATATTAACAAAGCTATCTCCTGAGGCTTCCTTTATTATTACACACAAGTGCAATGTTGGTTTAGTTTCTAACAGGAGCAACCTTTTTGATAAATTGGTGGCTTTAATTGCTATTATAGCCTTCATAATAATATATATATAGCTCATAAATTTCTAATGGACTCTGTTGATGCTCTCCGCTAAACTGCCGTAGAGTAAACGTTGAAACTTAGAGATCTATCATGATCTAAACTAGAAACTAGGAAATTGAATGTTTCTGTAAAGTAAGAATTTTCGCAGCCAGTAACTCATTATGCTATTCTTAAGCTATACTCACTTTGAGGTTGTGTATTAGGTATTGGCAGACTGAATAGCTTAGCTTTTACACTCTGTGGGCTTTCTTTG